GATGATGATGATTAATATTATTATTATCATCTTCAATATTATCATTATAATTATTATAATTACCACTACTACTACTAAAATAATAATTTTTATACTTTTATTGCTATTATTATTATTATCATTATTATTATTATTGTCAACTTTTAAGAACTTTCAATTTTTCGGTTTTCTCCTCTCACCACCCAAACGTTCCCCGACCACACGCGTACATTCGTACCTTCATCTTCTCGCTCACCACCCAAACGTTCTCCCACCACAAGTGTACATTCGTACCTTCATCTTCTCGCTCACCACCCAAACGTTCCCCCACCACACGCGTACATTCGTACCTTCATCTTCTCGCTCTTGTAGATGACGAGCATGGAGGGCTTGCAGACACACCACAGCTTGCTCCAGCCCTTGAGCGTGCCGCGCACCTTGAGCCAGTCCGCCATCAGGACGATGGACTGGTCCGACGCCGAGTTCATGATCTCCCGCGCAACCTCCTTCTTCTGGCTGCGGTAGCTCTTCTTCTTCTCCTGGGAACAGCAGCGGAAAGTGGGGGTGGGTTGGGGGGGGGGGTAAATTTGTGAGTGTGCCTGGAGAAAAGTCCCCGTTGTCGAAAAATTTGGATATTGAATTAATGTTAATTATTCTGGTAGAAGTTCAATGCTGAACACGCTGATTATTAAATTCTCAAATGTTCTGAGCAATTTGAAAGATATACCATATTTTGTAACTGGGTTGTAAAAATAAAGTTTGGAAAAAGAACACAATTTCTAACTCATTTTTAATTTTTAACCTTTGGCGAAGAACACATTGCAAAAATGATTGATAAAAAAATATTTACTCAAAATATTATAAAATCCTTTCAATATGTTATCAAGAAATGGTAAATGATGTGTTTTCTGAAGGTACTAGATTTTTTTACCATGAACAGATGAACAGACAGACAATAAAAAAAACCCAAACAAGCAGAGATAGTCGAAAACCCATTAAAAAACCTTAATTTTTTTTGCTTTCGTAAGAGTTTTACAGCACTTGGAACACAATAAAGTCATAACAGTGCCAAAGATTAGGTGTGTTTCAAGAGAGTAACAAACACACACACAAAAAAGGAGGAGGAACAGGAGAGAGATAAGGACGATAGATGTTTGATAGGAAAGAAGAAGCAAACCACACCAGAGCACCCTCCAACCACCCACTAAAAACCTGGCTGTGCCCCTACCTTGAGCGACTCCCTCTTGGACAGTTTGAAGGCAGACAGGCTTTTCTCCCCACTCTGTGTAGCACAACATTAGAACACGTTAATGGCCTTTTGTTTGTCCTTTTAGTTTTAGTCAGAGTTTTACGGCACTTGCAACACAAATATGTCACATAAGTTCGGATGATTAGAGATGTTATTTGAGAATAACTTCTATAGAAAAGGAAGAGACATTGGTGTTATTAGAGAGCATCCTGCAAAGTGGAAGGAGAGGAAATATAAGTTTACCAGAGAGTTACATACGAAGAAAAGAAGGAGGAGAGATAATGACGATAGATGATTGATAGGATGAAAAGAAATAGACCACACACAAGAATATGTTGATAACCTGATTAGGAGAGGTTAGGGATAAGTATAAAAGAATCTTGAGTCCTTAATAAGACTGAAAAGTAAGAAACTTCTTGAAACAGAGCATAAAACAAAACCAAAAATAATCACCGTCACCATAGCACAGCTCTAAAATACCAGACCTTACAATCCATCCATCTCTACCGTATTTGACACAAAGGACAAATATTAGTTATTGATTTTTAGAAGAAAACAACAACAAATAACAAAAAACAAAAACCTTTTTAGTCTCAGTAAGTGTTTTACGGCACTTGCCACACAATAAAGTCATATAAGTGCCGAAGATTAGACCCACACCAGAGCACCCAAAAAATAACCTCACCCCCCAACAAAACAACAAAAAACAACAACAAAACAAAACAACCCGAAACAAAACAAAAGATGAATATAAACCAATCAGTGGCCAGCATACCTTGTAGAGTTTCCTGTCGAAGGACGCGGAACTGTCCATCGAGGAGTCGGAGAACAGAACCTTCCGCTCGCTGTTGTCGCCATCAAGAGAGCCTGGCGGAGGAAAGAATGGTTTGGTTTTTAGTGAGAGTTTTACGGCACTTGTAACACAATAAGTCCATATGAATGAGGATGATTTGAGGTGTTCCTAGAGAGTAACATACAAAGAAAAGAAGGTTGAGTTTCAGTAAGAGTTTCATAAACAGCCGAAGATTAGAAGTGTTACTAGAGGGAGTAACATTCATACAAAGAAAAGAAAGTGTAACTTCAGTAGTAAGAGTTTTACTGCATTTGCAACACAAATAGGTCACATAAGTGCCACAACAACAAGAACAACAACAACAACAAAAAGCCTCTTTTTCAGCAGCTCACCATTCCGGCATTGCGTGTGTCACTACAGTTTTGATTTTCATGGAATGACTGAAATTGTGTTTTACGCCCCCATCAAAACACATTTTTAGCGTCGAATTTCTCAAAACTTGGTACTGAGCAGATAGAACTTTGAAATTTTAGGGTAGCGATTTGGTAGTGTGCGCTGACTATAACATTTGGTAGTGAGCACTGAGCAGAACCAAAACTCCTCCTCAGTACATATCCGAACTCCCTACCTGTGGACCTGTTCCTGAGCGGGTCAAAGGTCACCGCTTTGCCCGGGAACGACCATGTACGCATCAGTTGGAAGTTACTCCTTTTGTTCAGCCTCAGGGGGACTTTTGGCGCCGCGTCCAGGCACACAGAATCCTGGGCCATCTCGTCACAACACTTGGGAGTTAACGCAATCCGCACTCTTTCGTTAACACGACGGTTAACTCAATCCGCACACCTTACAGTTTTATACAATCCACGCTCTCTAGTTAACACAATCGTTAACACAGTCCACGCTCTCGAGTTAAGACAATCCACACACCTTAGAGGTTTATACAATCCAATCTAGTTAGCCCAAATCTACGCTGTCTAATATAAAACAATTCACGCTCTCTAGTTAAGACAATCGTTAACAAAATCCGTGCTCTGCAGTTAACAGAATCCGCACCCTCTAGTTAACGCAATCGTTAACAAAATCCACGCTCTCCGGTTAGCTCAGTTGTTAACAGAATCCGCACTCTCTGTTAACACAATCCACGCTCTGAAGGTTAACACAATCCACACTCATTAATAAACACAACCAATTCCCCACTTAACACGATCCAACCTCACTACTTAACACAATCCGATCTCACCGACCACACTATTTAACAAAATCCACACTCTCCAGTGTCGTCGGTGGCCAAGAGGTTAGGCTCTCGGACTGATCACAACCGTAAGGTCGTGGGTTCGAAATACCGTCAGAGACCCGATGTTGTGTCCTATAAGAACGTTAATTTCCACGACTTTCCCCTACTTCACCCTGGTGGGAATGGGTACCCGGCCTCAGACAGCGAAAGATCTCTGGCCAGTTTGTTAGTGTTTGACCGCTCAATCAGCTCCTTGTACCGTATGCTTTCCGGGAAGCTGAGAATGTTTATGAGAGTTCCAGAGTCTGCTGGGGGTAATGATATTGATTCTAAAGAGCATAGAGCTTGCCGATGAGTTGCGATATAATGCGCTTCACAAATGCGATTTCTTGTAAGCCTATACCCTACACAGCGACAGTTATCTATTTCTTTTTTTGGGTGTGTGAGATGAGTTATTGTCTTTGGGTGTGGGAGGTAGGCGACTTCTTTTCAGTCAGTCAGTTTTCTCGACAACGTGGGTAGTTGGAGGATGCTCTGGTGTGGTTTGCTTCTCCTTTCCTGTCAAACGAGACATATCGTCCTTATTTCTCCTTCTCCTTTCATTTGTATGTTATTCCCTCATAACACCTCAAACCTTTAGCACTTCTATGATTTAACCACGTTGCAAGTGCCGCAAACAAAACTCTTGCTACAACACTAGGCTTACCAGGAACAGAAAAAAAAACCAAAAAAAAAAAAACCAACCCTAAAAAGATATCCCCCCTCTCCCCCAACAAACCCCCCAAAACAAAACAAACAAAAAACACACCCGAAAAACATAAACAAGAAAGAAGTTATCAAAAATAAAAACAAAACCAAAACTACCAAC